AAAAATTAAAAAAAAAAAAAAAAAAGAGATATTACTGGGCCGGGCATGATGGCTCACACCTGTACTCCCAGCACCGTGGGAGGCCAGATTGCTTGAGCCCAGTAATTTGAGACCAGCCCGGGCAACATAACAAGACTCGATCTCTATTTAAGAAAGAGAAAGAGGCAGAGATTACTTCAGAGCAAATGACAAAACAGAACGTTTTTCAGATCACAATTGCCTTGCTAACGCTTCCATGTACTTACTGAAGAAGTGAAGAGGAATGAAGAAAGATATCGCTCAAGGTCTCTGCTGTAGAAATTGTGAGCTGAATGGACTTTGGGAGTGAAGCCCACTTTTGAAGCAGGTATGATTTCCACTCATCCACAGGCAGATCCATGCTGCTTTCGATCTATAAAATGAGTAAGAAAATAGGAATCTTACAAATGCACAATTTTAGAAAATCAAGAGTTTGGCTCCGTGCAGTGGCTCACACCTGTAATCCCAGTACTTTGGGAGGCCGAGGTGGGTGGATCATGAGGTCAGGAGATCGAGACCATCCTGGCTAACACAGTGAACCCCGTCTCTACTAAAAATACAAAAAAATTAGCCAGGTGTGGTGGTGCACGCCTGTAGTCTCAGCTACTCTGGAGGCTGAAGCTAGAGAATCACTTGACTGGGGAGGCCAAGGTTGCAGTGAGCTGAGATCATGCCATTGCACTCCAACCTAGGCAACAGAGGGAGACTCTGTGTCAAAAAAAAAAAAAAAGAAAATCAAGATTTCATTCAAGGAAGCCTAAAGCAATAAAATCAATTCTTGTGGTCTTTTCCTCTAGTTTATATGCTAAGGAAAGATCTATATTCTCTCACAGCAATTCACTCAACATCCTTCCATTCAGAAATATTTACTGAAAGACTACTTTGTGACAGGCACCATGCAGGTGATGGTTATACAAAGAGGAAGCAGACTAGATAGCTATCATCCGTGTCCTCTTAGTCTTTTTTTTTTGTGCGTGAGACAGTCTTGCTCTATCCCCCAGGCTGGAGCGCAGTGGCACGATCTCGGCTCACTGCACCCTCTGCCTCCCAGGTTCAAGCAATTCTCCTGCCTCAGCCTCGGAGTAGCTGGGATTACGGAGTGCGCCACTACTCTTGGCTAATTCTTGTAGTTTTAGTAGAGATGGGGTTTCACCATGTTGACCAGGCTGGTCTCGAACTCCTGACCTCAGGTGATCCTCCAGCCTGGGTCTCCCAAAGCGCTGGGATTACAAGTGTGAGCCACCGCGCCCGGGCTGATCCCCCTAGTTTCTCAAGTCTGAAACCTGAGACACTTCCCCAGATTTTTCTTTCTCACCCACCCCAGCAACTATTCAATTAACAGGTATTTCTCTCTTATATAGTTCAGCGTTCTCTTTCAACCCCCAGGTCATTCCTTCGGTTTAAGTCCTCACCATCTCGTCTGGCATTCTTCCTAGAGTGTCATAATTAGTGTCCATGCCATTGGCACCCCCCCCTCCACTTTCAATCCAGCCTCCAACACTGAGACAGAAGTCAGTGCTCTGCCTTAAATTCATCAACGCTACTCCAAGCATATTGGGAAGCCCAGGACAAAACCGTCCTTACTTGACCCTTGGCTGACTTTCTAATTCTCAGGTCTCACTTGTTCCTCTGCAGCCTTGCATACTGAACTACTCATTGCGATCCCCGGCTTGCCAGGCTATTTCATCTCTCCAAGGTTTTGGCAGAGGCTATTCGTGCTTTCCGGACCAACCCTACCCTGGCTTATGGAGTCCACCTGGAAAATTCCCACAGGTTCGTTCTTCGAGTCGGTTCAAACGGCACCTGCTCTGGGAAGGCTTCCCTGATTTCCAACACTCTTGGGGTTTGTACCACGTCTACCCGGAGCTGGGGCTACTCACGGCATAAAGTGCCCCCACACACTGTCCTCTTCTCCACGGACAGGGACCAGGTCTGATTCCCCTTCGGAGACCCCCCACCTCAACGGTGCCAAGCTCAGGGTTTGGCCCCGGTCGAGAAGTCAGCCCCGCGTTGCTGGAGGAACCGGGTCACTGCTGCGACTCCATTTAGCAGCTGAGGTCTCAGGGAACAGCTTTAACCTCCTCTGGGCTACCAACCCGTGCACT